AAACTAGTCCGATCTTATGTTTTTTTTAAAACTTTTTTAATGATTGACATATTGCTACATGGTTTCTAGGGGGTGTTCATGGGTACGGGCCAACCCGCGAACTCACTCACCTAATCCAACCTAACTCTTATTTTTATCCAACCCAATTATGTACAGGTCTATTTCGGACCAACCCATTCAAACCTATTGGCATTTGGTTCGAGTGGGTTTGAAGTTTTAAATCTACGAACCTGTGAATCCAACCTATTGACATGTCATTATATTTTTATTTTATTTTATTTATAAATTATCTAGCATAATTTTTTTAATATATATATATATATATATATATATATATATATATATATATATATATATATATATATATATATATATATATATATATATATATATATATATATATAAATAAAATTTGAGAAATCAAATTTCTTTATTCAAATAGATATATCTTATTTTTTAAATTATATTTTACATCATTTGTATATTTTTTACTTGATCTGAATCGTAAAAAAATTTAGGTATTAAAGAATAAATTTTATTTAAATTAAATACTAAATTTTATTAATTTTTTTAATGTTTTTTAAAAATAAAAATGTTAATAAAATTTATACTTTATTTAAAGTTTAAAAAATATATTTAGTGGATTAATCCACGAACCCAACCTAACCCATTGATGAGTGGGTTGATTTGGTTCAGGTTTAATTTTAGAAGTACGAGTTTAACACTCAACTCAAACTAAAGACTTATTGATTGAGTCAGGTATTGAATTTAATGAAGTTAGACCCAATCCAACTTATGAACACCGCTAATAGTTTTCTTATTTAAAAAATGTTTAGTATTGGAAAGATAATTTAGTTAATGTCTACAATTCCTAATGTTTATCTTTATTAGGGCCTTTTGGCATCAATATTGTATCCCTACTTTATCTTCTCTATTTTATACAACAGTGGTCTTCTTGTTATCGTTCTTGTTCATTCTTCTTCTCCCACTTCATTACCTTGTACCAACAAATTGGTATCTAGAACATTTGGTTCTGTTTTTCCTGGGAAACACGAGTGTTTGTGAGCTGTTTTTGTTTGATTTTGGTTCATTATTTTTTCTATGGAAATCTTGAACAAAATCTGAACAGAATCTGATTCTGTGGGTTGGGAAACAATGTGTTTGAAGATCTGAAAATTTGTGCAAAGTTTAAAATGAGTGGAGGCAGTAGTTTGAACACTAAACTCCCAATTTTTAATGGCAAAAATTGGAACATGTGGATGATACAAATGCGTGTGCTGTTTGGTGCGCAAGATGTTCTGGATCTGGTTACAGATGGTTATGTACCAGCTGCAGCAGATGCAACTGAAGAACAGAAAACTGTTGAGAGGGTTATGAGGAAGAGGGACCAGAAAGCTCTATTCTATATCCATTAGTGTGTGGATGAAAGTGTGTTCGAGAAGATTGTTGATTCAACAACGTCAAAAGGAGCGTGGGATTTACTGGTGAGATGTTATGGTGGTGACGTATCAGTAAAGAAGGTGAAACTTCAATTCCTGCTAAAGCAATATGAGAACTTGAACATGAAGAACAGTGAAAAAATTTCTGAATATATCTCTAGAGTGATCCTCATAACTAACGAGATGAAGGCGTGTAGAGAAACTCTGTCTGAACAGGTAATCATAAAGAATATTCTGAGGTCGCTTACTCTCCTCAGTTTGATTACATTGTTGTTTCTATTGAACATTCTAAAGATCTGAAAACCATGAGAATAGAAGAATTGCAAAGCAGTTTAGAAGCACAGGAGTTACGTCTGTCTGAGAGAACTTGAGAGGGAAGCTGAGCAAACTCTGAAGGTTTCTTTTGTCAAGAAAGACCAGAAGCAGAATAAACGTGGTGATAGATTCCAGAAGTCAGAAATCTCAACTTCTGATGATAAGAGATATCATAAAGGAAAGGAGAGGTATGACAAAAAGAAGGTTCAATGTTACTCTTGTAAACAATTTGGCCATTTTGCCAGAGATTGTAGGTCAAACAAGGAAAAGAAATCAGAAGAAGCGTATATGGCTAAGTGAAACTCTGATGATGAAACTGTGCTACTAATGGCTTCTAATTCTGATGAAAAATGCTCAGAAGATTGGTGGTATATGGACACTGGCTGTTCAAACCACTTAACTGGAAACAAACATTGACTGATTGACTTTGACTCCAGAAGGAGAACAAAGATCAGATGTGCTGATGGTAAGTATCTTAATGCAGAAGATATGAGAGATGTCAGAGTTAGAGTGAAGAATGGAAAAAACATTCTGATCAAAGACGTTTGGTATGTTTCCGGTATTAGAAGCAATTTGATGAGCGTGGGTCAGCTGATTGAGAAAGGTTTCTCAGTTGTTATGAAAAATAATCTCTTGACGTTGTATGATTCCAATCAGAAGTTGATTATGAAGTCTGAACAAGGAAGCAACAGAACATTCAAGGTGAATGTAGAAACAACTGAAGCAACATGTCTTAGTGCAGAAGATGCTGAAAGTGACAGTAAGCTGTGGCATAAGAGGTTGGGGCACTTGAACTATAGAAGCTTAGGGCATCTATGTTCTAAGAAGCTTGTACATGGTATTTTGAAGATTGTGAAGCCTGAGAAGTCATGTGAGATATGCATGAAAGGCAAGCAACCCAGATTGCCATTTACATCAGAAATAGCCCCAAGAGCGAAGCATGCTCTGGGAGTAGTACATTCTGATGTGTGTGGACCATTTCCAGTACCTTTACTTGGAGGAAATAAATATTTTGTGTCTTTTGTGGATGAGTTCACAAGAATGACATGGGTAACACTCATCAAGTTCAAGCATGAAGTATTTACCGAGTTTCAGAAGTTCAAAGTGAAGGCTGAGAAACAGAGTGGTCAGAAGTTGAAGATTCTGAGAACGGATGGTGGAGGTGAGTATAACTCTACATAGTTCCAGAAGTTCTGTGAGGAGATTGGAATAAAACATGAGGTTACTGCTCCATATACTCCTCAGCACAACAGTCTTGCTGAAAGAAGAAACAGAACTTTGTTTGATATGACCAGAAGTATGCTGAAAGAAAAAAAGCTACCTCACGTGCTGTGGGGAGAAGTTGTTGCCACATCAGCATATATTCTGAACAGGTGCCAACGAAGAAGTTGAAAAAAGTTGTTCCTTTAGAAAAGTGGACTGGAGATAAACAAAGTGTCAGTCATCAGAAGGTGTTTGGCTCTGTCTGTTACAAACACGTTCCAGAAGCTAGAAGACAAAAACTGGATGATAGAAGCAAAGTAATGTTGCTGGTTGGGTATCACAGTACAGGTGCGTATAAGCTTTATTGTCCAGAAACTAATAAAGTTGAAGTCAGCAGAGACGTTGTGGTGAAAGAGTCTGAAGCATGAGATTGGAACAAGTCTCAATCAGATTCTGGTGTAGTGTCAACACCAGAGTTAGCCTCTGAAGATATTTTAGAAAGTTCAGAAGACGAATCTGATTCTGAAGATTCTGAAGATGAGTCAGAAGGAGATTCTGACAATGGATCTGATTCTGATCCATATGCTGATGATGATCCAAAATCTGGTGGTGATCATAGTTCTGGAAGGGAAAACTCTGAAGGTGGTAACTTTGAAGGTAGTAGTTCTGGTACTGTTTCAGAACAAGCTTAAAGACCACAGAGAATCAGACAAAAAATAAGAAGGTTTGCAGATTTCGACATGTTGCAGGATAATGAAGTTGACTCTGAAGGAGAAGTCGTTCAGTGTGCTATGTTTGTAGATTCTGAACCAGTGGGCATTGAAGAAGCTCTCAGGAAGAAAGAATGGCTGAATGACATGAAAGAAGAACTTGAGACAATAGAAATGAACAAAACGTGGAAGTTGACTTAACTTCCAGATAAGAAAAAAGCCATTAGCGTCAGATGGGTTTTTAAGTTGAAACTTAAGCCAGATGGTTCAATTGACAAGCACAAAGCTAGGCTGGTAGTTAGAGGGTTTCTTCAGAAACCTGGGCTAGATTACTTTGAGGTGTTTGCGCCTGTGGCTAGGCACGAAACAATCAGATTGGTGATTGCTTTAGTTGCAAATAAAAATTGACCTTTAATGCATCTGGATATGAAGTCAGTATTTCTGAACGGTCCATTACAAGAAGAAGTTTACGTGTCACAACCTCCTGGATTTGTGAAAAAGAATCAGGAAGGGATGGTATACAAGTTGAATAAAGTTATGTCTGGACTAAAGCAAGCGCCCAGAGTTTGGAACCTGAAAATTGTTTTGTTTTTCAAGAAGTAGAAGTTTCAGAAATGTGAGATGGAATATGACGTTTATGTGCAACACTCTGATAACAATATGATTCCGGTGTGTCTCTATGTTGATGATATTTTGCTAAAAGGAAGCTGCCCAGAAGATATAAAGAAGTTCAAAGAAGTTCTGATGAATGAGTTCGAGATGACAGATCTAGGAAATATTTCTAATATATTTTTCATTTTACTCAAAAATATTTAATGCAAGTAGTAGAATGAATTTTTCATTAAATATTTAAAATGATTTAATATTAAATTTGACCTATTTATATGAAATTCTAGATTAAATGCACTCAATTAAAAAAATTATTAGAATGTTTTAATTGTGAAGAGAGCATTATTAAATTACTCCACCCGTTTTAAAATAACTGTTATTTAAGGTTTTTGTATACAAATTAAGAAATGTAATGATGTTGTCATAAGATATTATACTTTTATAAAATTAACTTTATTAATATATTAGAAGTAGTGTAAAGAGTAAAAAATAAATAGTGTAATTAGAAAAATAATAATTATTATTATATTGAAAAGTGAAAACAACAATTGTTTTAAAATAAAATTTATTTATCAAAACGATATATTTTAAAACGGAAGAAGTAAGGTATCCACGTTATTCTTAGGTGACTCATATTTTGAATGTTATTCTTAGGTGACTCATATTTTGAATATATTCTTAGGTGACTCATATTTTTCCCTTTTTAAATGTGAATTGTCTGTAGTTGAAGTGTGTGTATATTTTGCCTCGAGTGGAGCAAAACGTGAAAAGTATGCTTTACAGTTGTTTGATGGTAGAGATATGATGATACGGTCAAAAGAGACACCTTCCAAACCTTGTGATAAAATGTCATCACGTCATAGTCTTCAAAATCAAAAGCACCAAGTTTCCATGATCTTGAATTCTAGATCAAAAAATTCCCAGGTATGTATACATATTTATGTAAAGTATTTAATGCCATATTATTTTTACATTAATTATTTTAAAGATTTCGAGATTAATAATTTGAATAAAATATAATCTTTAATAGCATATTATGACAAACTTTGAGTTATATAATCGACCTCACTTAATAAAATGAAACTTAGTTATTATTGTTTGATGGTAGAATCAGACATGTGTTTGGCCTATTTGATGGTAGAAACTGTCCTACCGTATAATTAGAATAAAAACTAAAAATAGGCCAAAAGTTAGAATAAACTAGAAAGTCGACGTGGCCGTGTTGAGTCAGGTGTTTTTGTTGAGTCGGGTGTCTTTGTTAGAGTTCATGTTTCATAGATTAGATTTGTCAAATTCTATTTATTTTTACTGTATATATTTAGTCATTAGAGAAGAAGATCAAAATATAGCTACCGTCGGATTTAGAAATAAGAGGCAAAGAAAATGTTGAAAAGAATGAGTATCTGTAAAGTTGTTGGGAAAAACAACATACTTATTGAAGTATGAAATTTGTTTGGTGACAGAGGCACTATGTCTCATCAAATTCTTTAGCAAAATTATAAGGCCAAAACAAATGTCGGATGATTGGAGAAAAACACTTTAGAATAAGGAGGATATACAAAATTGTGTAAATTATAGGGCAGTTAAACCTATAAATCTTACTATAAAGTTATGAGAAAAAGTGATTGAATGGAGGCTAAGAAAAGAGATTGAGACTCAATTTGGTTTTTGTTTGGAAGGTCGACCATGAAAGCAATCTATCTATTACGACGTGTAATGAAGCAGTACCAGACGAACCAATAAAACTTGCATTTAATTTTTATTGACTTGGAAAATATGTGTGATATAGTGCCTATAGAAATTTTGTGAAAAGCCCTAGAGAAGAAAGGTGTTATGATTGCACATATTATGAAGGGATATCGACTAATGTACGGACGCACAAGGTGGAGAGCCAAATGTACGGACACACAAGGTGGAGAGACGAACGATTTCCCATTATAATAGGATTGCATCAAGGTTCAATCTGAAGTCCCTATCTTTTTATCTTAATTTTAGATGTACTCATAAAACACATCCAAAAGTTAGCACCAAGGTGCATGCTTTTTGCGGATATAATCCTACTTGGAGAGTGAAAGGATGATTTAAATGAGAGATTGGAGATCTGAAGACGAGCTTTAGAAACACATGGTTTTTGCCTAAATAGAAGTAGAACGAAGTATATAGAATGTAAGTTCAACAAAAGAAGAAGTATTTCTAACTCAGTGGTGAAAGTTGGAGACCATATCATCCTCATGTCATATGGTTTGAATATCTTTGATATTTAATATAAAATGATAGAGAAATAGAAGACGATGTAAATCATTGAATTCAAGTTGAGTGGTTGAAATGGAGGAGAGCTTAAGAAGTTTTATGTGATGCAAAGGTACCTCTCAAGCTGAAGGAAATTTTTTATTAGACTGCAGTAAGACTTGAGAAGTTGTAAGAGACATAATGTTGGGCGGTTAAGAATCAACACAAGAATAAAGTAAGTGTAATAGAGACAAAGATGTTGTGTTGGATGTGTGGTAACTACACAAAATAGGATTAAAAATTAAAATATCAAAGATTGTTGGAGTAACATCTACAATAGAGAAAATGGTTGAAATAAATTTAACTGGTTTGAACATATATGTTTTTTGTAGATGATATAGTTCTACTTAGAAAATTGATAGAGAATTTAAATGAGAAGTTGCAGACATAGAGACAAGTCTTAGAAACGAATCATGTTTTTTCAATTAATAACATATCATATATTCTCTCTATTCTCTTTTATAAACAAATTTTAAATTTTATGTTCACTCAATAAATAATGTATTTAGACTATATTTAGACTAGATACGTCAATTATTCAATAAACTTAAAAATCAAATGTTGCTTATAAAAGAGAATGGATAAAGTACTTATTATATTCGATACTAATGGTATATGTACTTCATTGCTGCGACGAAACATAACATTTGTCATAGCTAAAAAAACCTTTACCGCGACTATTATATAAAACCTTACATATTAATAGAGTGCTGACACTCTCTACACATAAATTCTTAAATATATTCTCTACACATAAATTCTTAAATATAATCTCTCCATTCTCTTTTATTAGTAAATTTTAACTTTTATGTTCACTCAATAAATGATGTGTTAAGATTATATTTAGACTATATACATTAATTATCTAATGAATCTAAAAGTCAAAAATTACTTATAAAGAGAATGAATGAAGTACTTATTATATCCAATACTGATGGTGTATGTGATTCATTGCTGCGGCGAAACGCAATATCTGTTATAGCTAAAAAAATCTTTACTGCGAGTATTATATAAAACCTTACATATTAATAGAGTGCTAACACTCCCTACACATAAATTCTTAACAGGTGTGCTATTCTTACACCCAAGTCTACACCCAAATACTTACACCAAACACTGTTCACCATTTTTATACGGTGAACAGTGTTTTTTTTAAATAAAAAATATATAATTTATGAATAGTAACTTGAACAGTACGTGAACAGTGCCAGTGACTTTTAATGGTAAAATAAAGTTGATTAATGAAATGTAAAAAATTAGTTAATGAAGTGATAAATTTGATTAATAAACACACATATTAAAAATAATCTTTAATAGTAAAACAAAGTTGTTAATGAAATGTAAAAACTTGGTTATGAAGTTGATTAATAGATTTTTCATATTTTTAGTAGTTATGAAGTTGATTAATATTTTAAATTTTGGTTAATAAAATTATGTAGTCGGTTAATCACATAATTTTGTTTTTGTACTCCTTCAATTTAAAAAAAGTAAAATAAATAATTTTTATTTTTATACGGTGTAGGTGTATAAATGTGGTGTAAGAATAACATTTTTCAATTCTTAAATATACTCCATCCATTCTTTTTTATAAGCAAATTTTGACTTTTAAATTCACTCGATAAATGATGTATTTATATTATATTTAGATTAGATATATCAATTATTCAATGAATCTAAAATTCAAAAGTTGCTTATAGAAGAGAATAGGGGTGGCAAAATAGGTCTTCCGCTTCGTTTCGCCCCACCCTACCTTAAGTACTCTAAAAAAAGAGTGGGGTGGGCAAGCTCGCCTAGTAGAAATGGGCATAAAAATCTAGCTCGCTCCGGATTGGTGGGTGGTGGACTTGCCCGCTTACTTTTTTATTTATTTTTTTCTTTGTCATTTTTTTAATATATTAAAAAGTTTTTTATTTTATTTTTATATTTCAATTAGTTTTTTCACTTATTTTTTTATAAAACATATTTTTAACAAAATTACTCAAAAAAATATTACATATATTCACAAATAAATGAATAAAATAAAACCATCAAGAATTGAACATACTAAATTAATTAAAAAAAAGGCAGACTTAAGATGAGACAAGCTGAACGAATAGGCGCGACAGACTATGGCAGACGACGGATTTTGGTGGGACAAACTTTAATGCGCGACATTTTTTAGAGAGATGGACTTTGGTGGACACCGAATCTAAAATCGCTACCCAATCCGCTATTTTTTGACGGATGCGCAGACCGACGGACACAATCCATTTTGCCACCCTTAAGGGAGGGGAGGGGAGAGTAGAAAATATTTAATATTTTATGTATTCAAATTTAGGGGAGGGCTTGGATCACTTTTTACTTCCTCTGATTTGGAGAGGAAGAGAGGTATTTCTTTTTAATATTAAAAATATGTACATACTTACTATAATTTATTTATTTATTTTTTTAAACATACATTTAATTTATTAATATATTAAAAGTTTTATGTTGAACAAATTTTATCTTTCTTTTATATTTTTTATATTTTTATAACTTGATCTTATTATCATTATATTTATTTAAATTTTTTAATTTTATATTTTATTATTACTTTTTAATTATCGTAATATTTTTGTTTATAATAATTTTTTTAGAGTTTATTGTATTTGATAATCTTTTAAAAGTTATATATATTATAATCGTTACATGTTTATAAAATCTTTCATATGTTCTATCATTAAATATTTTTCGTTAATGAATTTGTATTTGAATTATGAATGGTAAATATTTTGAGTCTTATGATGAAATTACAAGGATATAAAAATAAATAAATTTTAAAATACATTCATTTTTTCTGTGAATCATACATATTTGTAAATAAAATTTCTCCCCTTCCCTTTCATATTTTGAACTAAACATATATGTAATTAAAATTCCTCCCTTCCCTTCCTCTCATTTCCCCTTTCCTTGATAAAAATCTCTCCCCTCTTATCGATTGAACCTAACAGACCCTAAAAGAGAATGAAGAGAATATTTTATTAGATGAAATTTATATAACATCTATTCACATTGATATAAATAATAATGTTTTCCCGTAGATTTTAGTATGAGTTGAAATTATTTTTTGAAATGCAATCGAAAATTTGATAACTCTATCATAGAGACTCAATCAGAACTTGATATAATAGAATCACAATTATCTAAGATAGTGTATAGGTTCGTAAATAGCTTTTACATGTAATAGAGTCACAATTATTTTATTTTTTATTTCAGAAGAGGAAATGTAACCAATACATAAATGGTGATAAATTTGCCACTAATTCTGAATTTATCGGTAAAAAGAAATATGGTACTGATAATGTCAAAGATCAAAAAAGGAAATTATCTCCAGTCTTGTGTTCAACACCATCGGATGAAAAAAATACTAGTTTATCAAGAAGACAGAAATATGGTTCCCCTACTCATAATGACATGCTAGAATTTTGTGTTATTTCTAGACAAGACTATTCTCACCTAAGTGATGTTCAAGATTCTCTAAAGCGACCAAGTTATCTTAAGAACAAAGAGAGCTTTTATGTTCATGCTAGAGATTTAATGGATAATGATAGTTATTCTTATGGTATCGCGACATCAATCAAAGAGAAACTAATCGAAGAGGATATGGAATTTGCTGACTCTCGAAGGAAATTTTTACCTTCTAGGGGTAACCATCTTTCAAGGCCATTTATTCCCATTGGACCTAGGTTTCAAGCCGAAGTTCCCAAATGGGAGGTGACAACCAACATAAAATATAATAGTGATAACTGTTTGAAGTGGTTAGGCACTCAAATTTGGCCAATACCTTCTTTATCTAGTGATAATGGTAGGCTTGACTCAAGCTCGGGTGAGAACCATGAATCGGTTGATTGTTTTAGAAAACACGGTGAAGGTAGAGAGTGCTTAAAATCAAAGGTTAAAGGCACCTTCTCAAGTTGGAAGTTTGATGACAAGATAGAAGATGTTTTGAAATCATGGACAATGGAAGATGAGAAGAAATTTGAATCTCTAATAAAATTGAATTTACTATGAAGTGACACCATGGAGTACCATGAATTCACCATGGAGTACTTTCAATCCAAATCTATTGAGTACATGATGAATTACCATTATAATGTATACATCTCTAGATGCATGAGTATAGAAGAGAAGATCTCCTTTTGGCGCAATTGATGGTAAATCAAAATGATAATTATGAGGAGATTGAAGATTCATGTTCATCTAAAGGTATGATTATGATTTCAATTGGCAAAAAATTTTTGAAAATTGCAACATTGAAGATGTTAGGAGCTCGAAGTGTATGTTTTGGTTTCAATTCTAGAAGGGTAAGCACTTCTAGATGTTTAAAATTGATTCTACCATGATTTTAATATGTTTGGTTCTGTTAAAGTAGAATTGATTTTGTTTTTAGAATTTATTCAACTTGAAGCTAAAATTTGTAATTTTTGAGTTTAAACGTGATTTTTACATTGAAATTTATTGTTCAATTCACTTTTATATAAATGTATTCAAATATAAATCACTTTACCTTCAATTCACTTTTAGTCAGAATCAATTTTACAAAATTAATTTATTCAGAATCAATTCTTCTCATTGTTGAATCAAACATACAGAAAATCTAGTTCACGTTCAAAAGGCAAGGAACGTACTAACTCGACAGTAAAGAGAGGACCGAAAAGTCCTCTTCGTACCTCTCCATTTGATTGACCTCACTGAAATTGGTTTAGCTAGTTTTATCAACACCCTGATGAGGTCCTTTATGTATGGACCCCAAAGGAGGGCACCCTCAGGTGTAAAACCTAAAGGAACTATCGGTTTACAAGACCGGTAGGTCAGGTTGGCGAGTCTAAGACTATCATGTGAAATCTTGACATATTGTGTTTTTCAAAAACAAATTTCTAATGAGTATGTTTGTGGTATTGGATAAAATGGAGTCTAATGAGAAAAATAGAAGATTAAATCTTTTGTATTTTGTTTAATGTTTTTTAAAAATGCTAAATATGTGTTTATTATTAATATATTAGTAATAAACTCGCGCACGTGCACGAGATTAACTATATGATGGGATATGCTTATGTACACACAATTGATTTTTAAATTGAAAGAAGTAAATGTTATTGTCACATGAAATAATTTCCTAAAATCATCCATGATTATATTTCATATTTCGTATTTGGTTAAAAATGAGAATTGTAATACCATCAAAAACATGTAAAATGGTTTGTTAATTTAAACATACCAGTAATTATATTAAACTACAATAAATAAAATATTTTTCAAAAGTGTCAAAGTTTAGTTTTTTTAATTTTAGGTTTGTTCCTTTTAGCTTTAGGAATGATGCAGTGGTAACATTAATCAACTTCAACATCAATCAATTTTATCTCCTTAGGCTTGAGAAATTTCTTAATTACATATATGGGGAAGTGTTGCAAAATATCCATATAAATAATTCATTTATCTCTTAACACAAAGATTGAACAAACATACATTTCATCATGTAAGATTGGATAAAAAATGTTGTACCTACACATTTGTTACGACTGTTTTTGGATCAGTTACGCTTGTTTTTCAAAGAAACTGATTTTTGCCTGCAATTTCACCTCTGTGCACTTTGTTCACAACATAACCTATCTCATCAGTTTTCTTCATAACATAACATTTCTTTATTTATTTCTTCTCGGATTTGGTAGAGGTTCATTCATCTCACTACTTTCTTCAATAGCATTGACCGCTGTCCCTGGGTGAGGAGGCATGAGATTATTCTGAGTATTGGGACCAACAGAGTTGAAATTTATGGCCTCTGCATCGAGGAGGTCTTGAACTTTACATTTAAATGCTCCACAATTCTCAATCGTGTGACCTGGGGTTCCAGAATGAAATTCACAATGAGCGTTAATGTCATACCCCTTGGGGAGAGGATTCGGTGGTGGACCAATTTCACGCAGTTGAACCAACTGATTGGCAAGTAACTGAGGGAGAAACTGAGCATATGACATAGGAATGGGATCAAATCTTCTTTCGGGCGCTCTTTGTCTTCGTGGAGCTCTCGGACCTTGAGGTTGCAGATTCTGTTATTGATAAGTTGGAGGTGGTGCAAATTGTTGTTGTGGAAGTGTTTACAGTGATTTCTGGTAAACAACCGCTAGTCCTCCAAACTATCGAATAAACTTACTGACTGTTATTCAATTTCTCTGGTAACTCGCAGGATCGACTAGATTGATCCTAGGACGTGTTGGTTATTAGGGTAACTCTCATGATCGAACAGGTATTCATGGTTGGTATTTAGAATGTTGTGTAGGTGTTTAACTTATTTCGATTTCTCTATTAAAGATCTAAAGGTGTGATCAAATAAATGTGCGCGAAACTAAATTGCATGAATAAAGGTCAATTGTAAAGACATGTAAAAACTGCATAAAAGACAAGTAAATGACTTCGAAGCGTAAAAAAACAGTTAATGTAAAAGATTCGAAATATGAAGAAAGCGTTTAAATGCAAGAAAACTGTAAAATGGCTTTAAGTGAAAAAGGTGTTCGAATGATAAAAACTTGAAGATAAAGACATGAAATGTATAACAGTTTCTGAAATGTAAAGTATTTGAAATGGAAAGAAAACATTTAAATGTAAGGCATCCGTGAAAAGATTTCGAATGAAAACACTTTAAATGCAAAAATTTGTAAATGGTATTGACATAAAGATAAAGGAAAGTACTGGAAATGATAAAGAGTTTTCATTAAATCATAAACATGTGGTGTTATCATACGTACATTGCTCGTGCATTCGTTTCCCTAGCCATGTGGTAATTTGAATGTTTACTGAGTTTTTTGTACAATAGATATGACACACGAAATCCTAATGCTAAGACTTCTATTTATACTACTTCGACCATAACGGTCTTGCTATAAGATTCTGCCACGTTCAGAACATGCAGAGCAATGCCTCTCTCTTGCTTCCACGCGTCTTCGAATGCTCCAGCGCATATATTTCAAATCTCGAACATCCCGCTTGCATTTGAATTTCAAATGTTTTGGCACTTCTTCGCTTCGAACGCATTTCTTAGACACAGCCTTGTTATCATTTCGAGACTTCTTTGGATATATTCTCATAACTGTCACTCGAAGCTCCAAGCTTTGATATGCCCATTCGAAGCACTGCTTCTACCATTTCGAAACATGACGTTTTGTTTCATTTCAATCGAAACGTCCAATTTACTTTGCTTCTAATAATATCATCAAAATCTCCAGCCAACAAAATGCCCCTTTAAAATATGTATTTCGATTCCTTTGAGAAATACTTATTTTAAACATATACACAAGATTTTGATGCGACCTTCGAATCATCGTAACATTTATTGCATATGACTCCAGTCACGTCAATCATAACGCTTTTCAGATTCCTTAACCGCCTTGAACCATTTCACAGTATGGTGCAGTTACAAAACAATGATTGTCTTTAATCACGCCTATTACCAATGTTAACTTTACGCCACCTCTTCATCAAACCAACCCACGACTACCACGTATCACAATCTTACTCAGTGGATGCTTAAACTTCCACATTATAAAAACCCATCAACTTAGTCTTTTCTTTTCTTCCCACATTCTGAATCTTTTCTTCCTCTTTTCTCACCGAAACCCTAAACTTCCAACATTCTTCCAACAATGTCTTCTTCAACTTCATCTCAACTAAAAAAGGTTTCCAAAAAGAAAGGAAAGACCGCAGGAACTACAATGGAAAGCAAGGTTGTCACCTACCAATGTCAATCTGTTCTTGTTCCCCAGATGATCTCAAAAGAGAAAGAAATGCTTTATGCATCCCAGGTACTTATTCCTACTACCACTGCTGGCAAGAGGTTAGCTTTAATGGGCCCTCTTACAGTTTTTGAAATTTTAAAAGACACCAGAAAATTTTTCCCAGTTTGCTATAGTTTCAAACCTCTGTTTAATAAAATGGATGCCCCTAAGGCAATAGAGTCTTCTGGTTCAAACACCGTGGAAAATCCAATCGTTCCTCCTAAGGACCCTTTTGTACTAGACTATGTAAAGAGTAACTTCAAACCGTTTCGATCTTGTCCCACCTCCGACACTGCTTATCATAACTGGTTCAATAAGGTAGAAGCTAAGAAATCCCAGCAATGGGAAGAATTAGGTATCTACAACTTGATTAAGTTGTTGAAGCCAGGTTTTACTTATAACCACCCATTGTTATTCGCGTCCCTATATTTCTGGGACAATACTTATAATACTTTCCATCTCCCTGGTGGAATGATTACTCCTACCTTTTTTGACATAGCGGCCATTACTGGGCTATCACCAATAGGAGAAACATATATCCCTGACAACGAAGAGCACTCGAGTATTATCGACTTAGAAGTCAAGCTAGCAAGCTTTTCAAAGTTTATCAGCCACTATCACACTGAAGGAGACAGTGTGTCGGATGTAGAACACATTGCTTTCCTTACCTTATGGCTGTCAAGGTATGTCTTTTGCAGCAGATCCCTACAGGTAGCCAGTAGGTTTATTCCTCTAGCTAGAGATTTGCATGAGAATCGGAGGGTGTGCTTAAGCGAACTGCTATTAGTTGATCTTTATGAAAGCCTAAGGTCAGCTGTTTCGAGTCTAAAATCTCACACCTCCAAGAATATCCTGCTAGCTGGCCCTTTCTGGTTACTTCAGTTATGGCTAAATGCCATGTTCGAACCTTCATTATCAACTGCCAACACTATTGCTGAACAAGACCCTGAAATAACGGATAGAATCGTCGAAGGCACTAGGCTGCGAAGACTAACCCCAAACGATGATAAGGATGACTTCAAAGTCCTATTCTCAAAATATATCATGATATTCTCCAAGAGGCATAAGTTCGAAGAGACCATGGCGCCTTTTGCTTCAAGGGCTCATGGACCTTCATGGTTCACCATGGCTCTCTCAGAAGCTGTCAAAAGCAAAGAGATTCAAGATGTATGGAGAGCCTTTTTGCTACCCAGACTAATCTCTTCAAGAATAACTCCTGCTAAGAATCAAATTTTCCTTTTCGCTTATCAGCCCAATTTCGTTTCGAGACAGTTTGGCTTGTGCCAACTAATTCCTGAACCCTTATTTCAAACGGAAAATGCCATCATCTCTGGGCGAACCTTCAAGGCACGAGAAGCCAAACTATAGCAGGAACAATACCAAGGCTTCGCCCAGTTTGAACTAATAACTTTCGAACCTACCCACCTTACAGCAAAGGGGTTTCTGGAATGGTGGACAAAGTTCTATCAGACTTATATGTTCAATACTCTTACTATTCAGCAGAAACTAACTGATGCATTCGATGTGCAGGTACCATCCAAGAAAGGTATGTTTACTCATGCCAAAGAGATTAAGGCTTTTCAAAATTATTTCGAAACTACTTATGATCCCACACACTTCTACTTATGATCCCAAAATTATTTCGAAACTGCTGCTGGGGATGAGAATTCCTGATGACTTCTACTGGGGAGTTCCAATCTAATAGACTCATGCTGGGGATGTAAGACTGAGAATCTTCAGTTTGGTGGGAAGTATCTCTGGTGACTTCACTGGGGAATTCAAGATTTTCCCTCCCAAAACTCTGTGGGGAGAAGGTTCATTAGTCTGGCTTCGCTGAGGATTGATAATTTGAAGTTTTAGCTCGGCTGGGGATACTGAAACTTAAATTCTGAGGGGAATTGAGTTCTGGAGGATTCTCTGGCTGGGGATAACAAAGATAAACTCTTCTGGGGATTGTATTGATAAGTTATGTTGGGGAACTTTGATGAACTCCACTGGGGATAGGAAGAAATTTGCCGAGTGCGATCTTCCGAGGCAATAA